GGGGGGGGGGGGGGGGGGGGGGGGGGGGGGGGGGGGGGGGGGGGGGGGGGGGTCGCGGCCAAGAAATATCACTGCTGTGTTATACTGTAGTACACGTAGATGGTAACCATTCCACGATTTTCGCTTTTCACGTGTGAGAACCTGTCGTTCAACCAAAAGGGGAAGCCTGATACTTGATACTGCCTGCTGATAAAAAGAAAAGAAGAGAGAAAGAGTCAGTCCTCTTGCGGGCGGCACACTTGGCACACTGGGCAAGGCTTCTGCTGCTGCTGCGTATGGTTAGGTGCGCGTGTGTGGGCCAAGCTCAACGGTGACGACGCGAGCCAAGCAACATGCGTGAGGCCTTTTCGCCGTTTACCTGAGAGGATAGCCCCTCGACGATGCTCAGAACCTTCCCGAACCGTTCCCTGGCCTGCGAGTACTCCCCCGTCGCGAAGTGCACCACTCCGAGCTGTTCGCGTCAGGAGGCACAGAACAAATCGGAGAGTGAAGAGTCAAGACAACACGCCAAACTCGTGCGCCCAACATATCACACAGGCGATGATGCACGAGGTTGGAGTGTCGAACAATACTTGTGGATGTATCCATGCGTCACTAGACGTGGCGGCGCGCCCGGATATGAACAACACCGCGCTGCTTGCGCACTCCGCCGCGCAGTGAATTGCGTCCCATGGCATGCATGTTGGCTTTCCTGCTTGGTGTGGAGATACCCTTGACAACAGGGTACTGTACCTGTAATCCCCCCAAAGTCTGTTTTCTATCGGGGACGATGCACTCCCTCTAACTCGCGTTTGGCGTCGTCGGCGACTTTCAAACTCTCTAAACATCAACAAAGCAGGCACGGGAACAAGGGGTAAACCCACCGGACACAAGGCAAAAAGGGACAGCATCAACATGACCATCTCTTCGCCCCGTAGTTGGTGCGAAGGTCGGCCGTTCCTTTCGCTGAAATCTCCAAAACAACTTTGGGACGGAGATTTCATGGCCAGATCACCCTGATCCTGCTTCTTTCCCGCTTGATCTACGCATGATATCCTCGCCTGCTCGTTCATGTGTAGAGAGTTTGAAAGTCGTCGACGACGCCAATCTGAACCACCAATACCCATTCCATTGGTAAGGGTTAACTTCGGGCTCAACTGAATTGGCTGACCTGCGGGGTAATCCTTTTCATAAACCAACCGAACCAACCAGACCTTGCCCCCTCCTCGCAGGGGCACGGCAACAAATTTTCTTACCGCAAGGGACATTTTCTTTTGTCTTTATGATTGTCGCAATTTGTATTTGAACACCTCGTCAAGAAAGGAGAGCAGCACCTGTATATACTATCATTCATGGCCAAGAGGAAGGCCGTTTCGCTTCCCCCGGGNGGGGGGGGGGGGGGGCGAGACGGAGGGAGAGGTCTGTTTACCGACGCAACACCCACGGCCAGCTTACGACTTACGACTTACGACTTACGACTTCATACTTCACATCCGTGTATGCTTCCCACGCATAATCAATAGGTACCGATTCAGACAAACCGGAAGATGGAAGCGCATGGATGTGTTGCCTGTCCCAGCCGCGTGAGTGCTGTAGGTCGCAGCAGTCGCGGTTGGACTCTCCTTTCTATTCCCTCCGTCTCTTTCTCTGTCTCTGTCTCTGTCTCTCTCTCACCTCGTTTAGCACGAGCGGGTCGGACGGAGACAGCGCCAACGCCCCCATCAAGAAGTTTCTCGCCAGTGCCAAGTTGTGGGTTCGAACGTACTCCATTCCTGACCACACAACAAGGGGGCACGGCGAGAACGTCATTCATCAACACAGAAGACGTCGACGTCGATCGCGACGACATCAATAATCGTTCAGCCTCACCCGGAACAAGAAGCGTCACGGCAGCACAAAGACTCAACGATCAAGACAAGGACGACAGTGTTTCTTCCGCCTCGCCCGGAGTAAGAAGCGTCACGGCAGCTCAAGGCCCAAACGAGCATACCAAGACGACAACGACGACATCAAAAGCTTTTCAACCTCGCTCGGGGAAAGTGCCGCTGGAGCACAAAGATCAAACGCGAACATGCATTCAGCGTCATTCGGAACCAAGTGTCGCGGGAGTACCGACTTGAAACGAGCGTATTAAACTACCGTGTCTCGGGTATTCCTGCTTGTCCTAACTGACGGCAACTCTATCGAGTCAGCTCCACTCGGAGGAAGTGTAGCGGGAGCACTAAAAAAAAGCTCAAGTGAACTTATCAAAAAAGTGTCATGTAACATGCGTTCCTGCTCGTCCCGGCTCTTGTATTCCACCCGGAGCAGAGCAGTCAATAGCCGATACTTGTTACGCTACGGGAGAGGTACAGCGAGAACTACACAATAGAAAATAAAACAAATCCAAAGGGTCTTGAGGGCGATAGGGCGATAGAGAAAGGTCACAAGGACCACTGCTGCAAAAGAGGTCGAAACCCGCAATTCCCAAGACAGGAACACTGCTTCAAAAACAAGCCTATTCCCTCTCTTCTCGAAAAAAAGAGTATGTACTGCTGTACTGCTGTGGTGCTGCATGAGAGCCCCGATTCAAGTCGGAAAACGGAAGACAAGACACTCACAAACCGTTTCAGAGAATTGAGACATGGAAGGACCAAAAGCGCCCCCTGCTGCTGTGTTCTTACCGACATTGAACAGCGCTGCATGCACAAGAGCCCCAACAGAAAAGGGGGCGAAAAAAAAACGCAAAATGCTCGAGATAACGAAACAAAACATCACACCACAGAACAGGCACAACCGGCGCACACTGCTGCTTGCTGCTTGCAACTTGCGACTTGCTGCTGCTGTGCTTACCGAAATAGGGCATCACCGCATGAGAGCCTGGATAAACGACGGGAAAAACAGGAGACGCAAATCACACGCTTGAGAGAGAGAAAGCACAAACGGGCGGCGCACGCTGCTACTGTTGCTGTCCTCACCGATATAGAGCAGCGCTAGGTGAGAGCCCTGGAACAGACGCGCCGCCGTGCGGTAGGCACTGACGGCCTGGTCAGTTTCCTCCTGGGCGGCAAAGGCGTTCCCGAAACCGATCCACGCCGGCGCGAATCTCCCGTCCAGCTTAGTCGCCTAATGTTTTGTATCGAGACGATGGCACGAAAAGGGATGGAAGGGTGGAGGGAGGGAGGGAGGGAGGGAGGGAGAGAGCCACAACAATACAGATGAGAGATTAATTGAGACATGAAAGGGGTATGAGGCGGCTGGCGGCGGGGGGGCTGAGATAACAACCAACCGAAGCAGACACGGATACACAAAGCTTCACAAGAAGCGTAACCGACACAACGTTGTACCCTATCTTACGTGGCAACGTAGAGCAAGTAGCGCTGGGCCAGCCCGTTCTTGTCGAAGAGGCGATAGTACAGATCATACGCAGAGCCCCCCCCTGTACCAAAATTCTGCGTACCCCCAGCCAGTTCTTTTATCCCCAAGTTTGTTTTCACCTTGAGGAAGTAGCGCTGGGCCAGCTCGTTCTTGTCCAGGAGGTGATAGTAGCAGGCCACGGCGAACCACGAGACCGCCTGCTTCGGCCCCGCTTCCACCAGCTGGTGGGCCGTGTAGAACAGCTGGCTCTTCATCTTCAGCTCCACCTTGGTTGTGGCGCACAGCGCACAGCAGGGTCGACAAGAGGGTCGACAAGAGGGAGAAAAGAAAAACAGGGCGAAGGGAGGAAAATGCGACACACAAAAGTGACCTGACTCTGTCCGCACGGTCAGCCGAGATTGCATGCAAAGGCCGATTCATCATCCGGAGCTTGGTTCCGGTGAAAAACACACAAAAAAAAGTGTCCCATATTGGGAAAGAAAACATATAAACAATGGACACGATACGGAGAGGGATCGATCGAATATGCTACCCGACTGGCCGACTGACTCACCATCGCCGCGAGGTAGACCGGGAGACACGCCGAGTTGTGCGGGTCGGTCCGGAACACCTGTCTGCAGATCTCAAGCGCTTGCTGGGCGTCGTTCTGGGGCCAAGCCAAAGAGAAGAGGCACGGAACACGACAAGATACAAGAGAAGACGGGAGCTTCTTTTACGACGTACTTCTTATTTAGAAAACAAAATACTATTTACTGTCCTCGACTTGCTGGCGTGCATGGTTGGTTTGACGGAGAGAGGCTCCCACGGTTTCGAAAAGCCGTCGAAGAGAGTGCGCCGTTCTAGCTACGATAGGCCTCGCCCCCCCCACAACCCTATAAAGTTCTTCTGCGGGCAGCGCATCGGATCCAAGGGCCGGACTGCCTACGCGAAAAAATTAAGTTCTTTCCAAATAGAGAGGATACATTGACCCATATCCCTGTCCCTCACCGAAATTCCACCGACTCCATACTGTATCCCACATGTTTGCTGGATAAAAACCTGCGTGGGCTACTGGGGCCAACACAGTTGCCCCCTGAGCTCCCGCTAGTACGCCAAAGTGAGAGCCCAAGCCTGATCGTATACATCTATCCACGACTCCGAGTCGGCGGGACCTCAACCACGTCTCAAGGTTGTTGTTGAAGATTGACTCGGATATCAACTGGCCGCGCAACATCAGTTTCAGCAACCATGAGCTGCCACAACACATCAACACCGAGGAGAGCCTCCCTGAGTCAAAATCGTCACACACGCGAAAGCACGAAAAAAGGGAAAATGCACTCCGCTGTTCGGGCGTGGGCGTGACTCTTCCTTGATCCGTGCTCAACCGCAACCCCCCCCCCCCC